TTAAGATGGAGTCTCACTCTGTTGCCCAGGCTGGCTCACCTCAGCTCACTGCAACCTCCGCCTCCGGGGTTCAAGCAATTCTCCTGCCTCAGCCTCCTGAGTAGCTGGGATTACAGGAGTGTGTCACCACGCCCGGCTAAGTTATTTTTTGTATTTTTAGTAAAGACACGGTTTCACCATGTTGGTAAGGCTGGTCCCGAACTCCTGACCTCGTGATCCACTCGTTTCAGCCTCCCAAAGTACTGGAATTACAGGCGTGAGCCACCATGCCCAGCCTTGCCTGGCTAATTTTTAAAGACGTTTTTTCTTGGGATTGATGGTGGGGGTTGGGGTGTCTTACTATGTTGCCTGGGCTGGTCTCGAACACCTGCCCTCAAAAGAATCTCCCACGCTGGCCTCCTAAAGTTCACAGTAGTTCACAGGCAGGAGCTACTGTGCTGAGCACTCCACGCAATTTTAGCTCCACTCTTATTCCAGCGGGCCTAATTAAACACCTGGCTCCACCCATCATGGCCCTCAACCTATACCTGTTCTCATATTATCTCAGGCCCGTGGCCACGCCCTTCATGTACCTAGGCCCCGCCTATCACGGGCCCCTACTGGTCTAAGGAGCCCTAGGCTCTGCCTACCATGCGGCTGTTGATACGGCCGAGAGCCTGTCTATCATGGTCTCCAGTAGGCTGAACGCTGTCTGGCCCCACCCACCTGCCTGGCCCCACCCACCGTGCTCTTGGCCCCGCCCAGTGCCCCGCCTCACCTGTCCCTGATCTTATTGGTCCTCGTGACCACGTCAATGTCCATGCGGATCTTGATGCGCACGTGACCGGAGCCCAGCTCTGGGGTTGTGTCTGCGGGGTCTGAAGGATCCTCGGGTCCCAAGAAGACAACGCCGGCCCAGAATCGATGTTCCGCGAGCAGCTGCAGAGCCCGCGACACAAGGGCTGCCTCCGAGGGTGCCGCCTCTAGCTTGTCCAGGGACAGGCACTGTGGGATGGGAGACGTGTCCTAGGCCCAGGGGTCTGCCTGCCTCCTAGACCACTCCGCTCCTCCCCCTGGACCTTGGGGCCATGATTCCCCATCGTAGGCCCAGTGCAGGGGCCGGCTCCCTCCTAAGATGTCCACAAATCCCAGGCTCTCACTAGGGCAGGGCCCGCCTCCCTCTGGCAACACCAGGGTGGACCCTGCCTCCCTGCTGAAACAGACCCCGCAGATGGACAGCCCCTCACCTCGGTCACCAGGTCCAGCATGCCCACCAGGCGCCCCACATCAGCATGGGCATCCTGCCAGCTGTAGCCACCACTCCCAGGGTCCAGAAAGGATCGCAGGGTCTCCATGTGGTCCTGGCCTCCGGGTCTGGGCTGCCTTCTCCCTTCTTCCAGGAGCCGCTGGAGGGTGCAGGTGAACGTGAGTCTGAGCTGGGTGTGGTGCCTCACGCCTGTCATCCGAGCACTTTGGGAGGCCAAGGCGGGCACATCACCTGAGGTCAGGAGTTCCAGACCAGCCTGACCAACATGGTGAAATCGCATCTCTACTAAAAATACAATTAGCCGGGAGTGGTGGCATGCGCCTGTATCAGCTACTCGGGAGGCTGTGGCAGGAGAATCGCTTGAATCTGGAAGGCGGAGGCTGCAGTGAACCAGGATCTTGCCACTGCACTCCAGGCTGGGCAACAGAGCGAGACTCCATCTCTTTGGGGGGCAAAAATAAAAAGGCCCGGCGTGGTGGCTCACACCTGTAATCCAAGCACTTTGGAGGCCAAGGCAGGCGGATCACCTGAGGTCGGGAGTTCAAGACCAGCCTGACCAACATGGTGAAACCCCGTCTTAAAAAATAAAAATAACAAAAAATAAAAGTGGGGTTCTACATGGAGCCCGCCTTCCCATCCACTGGGCCTGTCTGCCTGCCTCACCGTAGAGCCCACATCCCACCTCCCCAGCCTCCATCCATCCCCGCGCACCTGCAGCATGGCCACATTGGCACTATCGTTCATGAAGGCGAAGGTCTGGGGTCCCAGCACCCCCCACACCTCCCGGACATCCCTCAGCAGGGCCAGCTCCTCGAAGGTCTGGTTCACCTGTGGAGAGGCTGACTCCAAGATCCATACAGGCCCCCTTATTCATGACCCTCTCCTCCTCTGAGGACCCTGCCCGCCCCCGCCCGCCCCCGCCCGCCCCCTGCCCCCTGCCCCCTCTGCCTTGCTCCTGCCTGTGCCTCTGAGCCTCCGCACAGGCTGATCCCCCTCCATCTGCTAACTCCTATTTCTTCAAACCCAGTTTCCACAGCCCTCCAGCCTGGCCCTGACCCACCAGGACTAAGGGTACTGGGTGGGCTCTGGCCGCCACCCTCCTGCCCCAGCATCCAGCTGCCCCCACCTGGGCCATGAGCTTCCGGGTAAAAGGTGTGTCAGGTGCAAACAGCAGCTTCCCCAGGATCAGAGGCTTCAGGCGTCTCCAGAGCAGGCGGGACAGCGGGTGGCTGTCCAGAGCTCCAATCAGCTCCGAGCAGGCGGGGCCTGGGATGGGGGTGCCATGAGGCCCCACCCCCATGCCCACCTCTCCCCTTCCCAGGAAGGAAAGCCAAAGTTACTCACTCAGGCTGCTGTCCGGCAGGGCCGATTCTTCGTCCTGCCCCACCAGCTCCATCAGGTCACTAGCATCGTACCAGTTGAGGGAGGGCCCCACTGTGCTGCTAGGCCCCCTGGTACTGCAGAGGACCTCTGACAACAACTCCAGGGGGCCACCGTTCCCTCGGGGTCTCTGCAGCAGTGCCTGAAGCTCCGCCAGGCTGGGCAGTGCTCGGAGCTAGAGAGAGGTCACCAGACAAAACTGGCAATGATCCCACCTCCAAGCCTTAACCAGGGCAGGGCACAGGGCCAGGGGCAGCCTCTCCCTCTCTTGCTAATTCCCCTAAAAACCCACCCAAGGGAAGTGCCCGGGCTGCCCTGGACTCTCCCCGTGCAGGCTGCCTGCCAATGTTGCCTCCATGAGGGCTGAGGATGCATGGGGCCTCACCTCCTCCGCCAGGTCCTCAGCTGCCTCCAGAAAACTGTGCAAGGGGTCCTGGGCTTGGCCCAGCACCGACACCAGGGATTCCTGGGGAGAAAGACCACAAGGGTGTCAATGACTTTGAGCACTCACTAGGGCTCCAGCACTCTGCCCAGTTCCCAGGCAGACCATGCTCTCATAGCCCCCATTTGACAAATAGGGAAACTGAGGCTCTGAGAGGCACAGGGACTCGTTCGAGAGCTCACAGATGAGTCTTCATCACCAGGTCAGACACGCTCTGTCCAGACACAGAAAGAAAAGGAGCGTCACTGACCAGGGACAGCCCAGATGCCTGGAATGGGAGGCCCTTGGCCCGGGGTGGGGCAGTGTCCCAGGAAGTCAGCAACGTCCCGCCCCACCACCCTACCGTACGCAGCAGCGACATCAGCAGCTCTGCAGGGTTCTGCACAGGTGGTTCCAGTGGAGGCTGCTTGCTTGGTTGAGGCGGGGCTGGGGGAGGGGCACACGGGAGCGTGGGGCTGGGCGGACCTTGTCCTGAGGCACCACCCCCACCTTGTGCCCATTTCACAGCTGGGCAAGTCGAGGCTCAGAGCTTAGCCCTGCCAGAGACCCCCAGCCTCCTCACCTGCGATCTGTGCAGCCCTCAGCGTGGAGATCAGCTTCCCCAGGCCAGCCAGCGTCCTGTGGACACTGGGCCCCCTCAGCACAGCGAGGGCATCGGCTAGCAGCCGGGAGACCCTGGGGACAGAGAGGGCAGGAGGTGGGGTTCCAGCCGGCGCTGCAGCCCCGAGTTTGCAGGCTGGCTGCACCCTCTGCCTCTGGCTCACAGGGAGTCGTTGAAGTTGCTCAGTTGCCCAGGCTCCTCGCCTCGTGTCAGCTGAGGGAAGCAGGTGTTGTTCACGTTACAGATGAGGCCCTGGAGCCAGGGCACGATGCCTGCCGATGGCAGTGGCTTGTTGGGGAAGTGGCCTGCGGAGGGGCAGGGGAGGAGATGCCTGGTGCACAGGCTCTGTGGACTCTGCCTGACTCCACCCCCCTGGGGTCACCCGCCACTGCTTGCATGCCTCCAGCGACGGAGAGCTCACTCCCATGCCATGTATTAGCTGTCCAGTGAAGACTCCCTGACATGCACTGGGGATCCCTGTGCACAGGGTCCCCTTTCCCTACACATGCAAAGTGCCTGGTCCCTGGGGCGCTCACATTCATGGTGCTCCAGAGGGGGGTGGGAGTGGCGAACAGCCACCAGGATGAAGAAGAGGAAGAGAGGCCACAGCAATTCGACCAGGAGCTGGAGCTGGGGGAGAACACGTGGGAGATGGTGGGGGATGGTGGGGGACAGTGGGGGCCGCCTGCCCACCCGGCCCTGGCCGCACACCGGGGCGTTACCGGCTGTCTCCGGCGATACATGAAATTCTTCCAGAGCAGCAGCATCAGCTGTGTCCAGAAGGCCATGGTGAGACTGGGAAGGGGACCGGACAGAGAGGTCAGGACGACGCTCGGGCTGGAGACCTGCAGTGCGGCTGCGGGCAGCTCCCTGTCCCGCTCTGAACTCGATCCCACAGCGCAGGGTTCCTGGAGGCACTGATTAGGGCCAGGCAAACCGTAGTCACTTGATAAAGGACTCCAGGGGTGGAGTCCACCAATGGGAGCTCGAGCCGCAGCCGTCCTCGCATCTGATTGGCTGCCAGAACTGTCGCTCTGAGCAAGGGCTGACAGCTGGGTCCTTAACCTTCCTCTAATCCTCCAAGGGTCGAGTCTTAACGCTTTCCTCATCAGGCTCCACCCCAAGCCCCACCTGGAAACTCTTCCAAGTCCTGATCCCCAGCCGAGGAAAAGGTTCCTTTACCCTCACTGTTCTCCAAAGATAACGGCAACGAATATTGGCAGTGCTGAGCATTTCTTTCTTTCTTTCTTTTGAGACGGAGTTTCGTTCTAGTTGCCCAGGCTGGAGTGCAATGGCGCGATCTCGGCTCACCGCAACCTCCGCCTCCCGGGTTCAAGTCATTCTCCTACTTCAACCTCCCCAATAGCTGGGATTACAGGCATGCGCCACCACAACCGGCTGATTTATTATTATTATTTTTTTAAGATGGGGTTTCACCATGATGGCCAGGCTGGTCTTGAACTCCTGACCTCAGGTGATCCACCCACCTCGGCCTCCCAAAGGGCTAGGATTACAGGCGTGAGCCACCGCGCCCGGCCTTTTTTTTTTTTTTTTTTTAGTAGAGACCGGGTTTCGAGTTTCACCCTGTTGCCCAGGCTGGTCTCGAACTCCGGACCTCAGGTGATCCACCCACCTCGGCCTCCCAAAGTGCTGGGATTATAGGCGTGAGCCACCGCGCCTGGCCTGTGCAGCACATTTCACACGCTCAGCGGAAGTGCTTACTACCACCCCACTCTACAGAAGTGTTAATGGAAGCCCAAGAGAGATACCTGGCACCCAGAGAGTCAGGGAGCCGCACAGCTGGAGGCAGGACCCCAGCTCTGCCCACACCTTCTGTAGCATCCAACGCTCAGCAGCACCCGGGAGCCAGAGAAAGAGTCAGGTTAAGGGGCTGGTGTAGAGACTCCTGGAGCCAGCCATTCCTGACCTCCTCTTTTCCTTGGGTTTGTCCACCTCTGACACAGATGGAGAATCTGACGCCGACAGAGGGGCAGGAAGTTGTTAAAGGTCACCAGGCCGGAACTGGAACCTCGAACCCAGACCCTTACGCCAGGGTTCTTTCCTTTACTTCAAGCGGGACTTAGGATCTGGGGGAGGGCCCTCAGTTTCTCCCTTTGCAAAATGGGGCAAGGGGGCGTGGAGGAGTTCCAACGGGGCGGGGTCTGCTGGTGTGTGATTGGCAAAGGCCGTCAGGGGTCCCAGATGTCCCACGCCCCCTGGAGAATTAGTGGGAGCGTGGGACATCTGGGACCCCTAAGATATCTAATTCAGCCCTGACCCCTAATTCAGCGCCCCCCCCAGCACCCACCGGAATAAAGGGAAGAGCCAGAGGCTGGACCCCCTAATGCCCAGGGAAAGCGCATCCCTCCCGGCCCCAACCCCGCATTCTCCAGTCTCGGGCCTTCCTCCCTCTCCGAGTCCTCACCGTTCCGGAGGCTCCCCAGCTCTCACCGCCTTCCCCCCACCCAGCAGCCTGTAGGAGCGCGGCCCCTTTAACAGGAGCGTCTTGCGGGAGCAGTGCCCCTAGAGCCAAGTGCCCCGAGCTTCCGCGCGCAGGTAGCCGCGCCGGGCCACGTCCGCATCTGAGCGCTGCTATTGGTCGACCTGGCCGTCACTCACGGCCGGGCTCCGCTGGAGCAGCGCGAGCCGAGGGAGGAGGCGGGATCACAGAAGGGCCTCGCCGAGCCGGGTTTCTTAAAGGGACCGCGCGGCTTTTGCTGCATCACCGTGGGGTGGCGGGGTGCCTGGCTGGTCCCACGCGGACTGGCCTCCGGGAACGAGGCCGCGCCATCTCTGGAGAGCCAGGCTGCCTCCCCACGTTGCATAGCCGGCTGCAGTACCTTAGCTCCGCATTGCAGGAGTTCCCCCGTCCCCGCTCTCTCCGGGGCTGGCCGGGCTCCCTCCAGTCTAGTCCTGACCCTGGGACTCCGCTTGTCTGTCTGTAAAGTGGGGTTCCACTAGGGCAGTCATTCTTTCATTCATTCCACGAACGCTCCTCGATTTCTGCAGTAGGACAAGGCGATGGCAGACGGGGGAGGGGCCCCCAACACGCTTTTTTTTTTTTTTCAGATGGGGTTTCACCATGTTGGTCAGGCTGGTCTTGAACTCCCGACCTCAGGTGATTCGCCCGCCTTGGCCTCCAAAGTGCTGGGATTACAGGCGTGAGCCACCGCGCCCGGCCGGCCCCCAGCATTCTAACATTAGAGTCTTTGGTCATCATGGTTACCCTGATTTTGAGGGACACCCCTTTCCCACTCTGGAAGAGGAGTTTATTTCGCAGGATCGAGGTGAAGCTGAAATGGGAGTGTGTGGGTCCACAGCTTTGAAGGCGCTGGGGAGAGAGAGAGGCGTGGGGAGGGCTCCCGCGGAGGAAGGAGGTGGCATGGCCGCTGGGGCTTTGATGATAAATAGGAGTTTGCCAGCGGGGAGACATCCAGGCTGAGGCCGCGAGGCTTGTGCTGTAGGGCAGGGTGCAGCCAGAGAGCACGGGGGTGCCTTTGAGGCAACTGCTTCCTCTCCAACTGGCCAGGAAGCCCAGCCTGGGCCCCTCAAATCATTCATTCCACCCGGACTCAAATCACTCGTTCCACCCGGACTCAAATCATT